CCACCCAAACAAAAAAAAAGAAAGAGGGAAGAAAAATGGGGGGGAAAAGGCCCCTTTTCCCCAGCCTTTTTGAAAAAATCAACAAAGACCTTTCTTTTCTTTCTTTAAGATTTTGAGGTAAAAAAAACTGAAAAACATTTAATTTTTCAAATCGGTATTTTTTATTTTTTTCGTAAACACGGCTGCCCAACTCCCTGTCCTCCCAATCTTCTCACTCTCCCCCAATCAACATCGTCCCCCCCGTTAGCCTCTAATTCTTAGTGCATGGTAATTCAGCAGAATCGATTACTGTCATCACACGGATCCTGCCTCCTAAATTCCTCCATATGGGTCGCCTTCAAGCTTCTCCGGATCGTGCATCTCCTATTCACCAAGCCCTTTTCGTCGTCTTCCACATTTCCGCCCCCTGCCGCTTTCCCCGCCGCAATCTCCTCGCCCCACGTCTGCCAAACTGCCCCACTCTGCCTCACTCTGCCTACACTCTGCCCCACTCTGCCGCCACTTTGGCCCCGCCGTATCCGTCCTTTTCCTTCGCCGTTTCCGCCCCGCCCTGCCCAGCCTCGTCCCGTCCGCCCCGCCTTACTCCGCCCGCTCCGCCCCATCCCACCGCTGATCCGCCTCGCCCCACTCCGCCTCCCTCCGCCCGCCCGTCCCGTCCTGTTTCCTTCCCGTCCGCCCTACTCGCTCCGCTCCGGCCCGCCCCGCCCGCCCCCGCCCCGCCCCCCGCCCCGCCCGCTCGCCCGCCCCGCTCCGCCCCGCTCCCGCCCCCGCCCGCCCCCCCGCCCGCCCCGCTCGGACCCGGCCCCCCCGCCCCGCTCCGCTCCGCTCCTGCCCCGTCCCGCTCCGCTCCGACCTGCCCCGCACCGCCACACTTCACCCCGCCAACCCGCCCTTCCCCGCCTTAAAATAGCACCGCTTTGCGCCTCCTCTGTTGCCTCGCGCTCTGGCGTTTATGCGGCGACACGAGCGGCACGCAGGTGAGGTGGCACTGCCCGAAAGTTGCCGCGGACTTTTCTCTCTCTGCTGCCGCGGCGACACAGTGCGCCACATCATACGAAAGCTTGCGCGAAAACATTGCATTAGAACGATCAAAATGTGAAGAAACTGTAGGAAGTTCGTATTTTCAAAATGTTCAGATTTCGGAGCAAACCTTTCTTAGAATAGATTTGAAGGCAATTGTAGCGATCTAAAAGAATATAAAAAATACTAACTGAAATGAAATCTCAAAGACATAAACGTAATAAGAATATAAAGTATTATATTTCTAGTGGTCTGCAACAGAGAACATGCTGCATATTAAAGGAAATATATTCTTCGTAGAATTGAATTCAATAAATAAATGTAACTGAGAGAATCTGCCTAAGCATATTTGCAGTGTGAATTTTTATTTTTTTCAAATTTTCTGTATCATTTTCCGTTTGTAATATAATAGTTTTGCAATATATTTTTCAAACCACAGAGCAAATACCAAATATTGGATTAGCACCATATTTTTACCATCGCTTATTATATATGTGTAGATAATGTAAAGAAAAAATTTTAACGTTTTTTTTAGAAAAAATGTTGCGAAAATTTCAAGCTCAAACACTACTCATTTTTTCAAACATGTTTACATGATCCTTTTCAAAGAGTTAATTTTGTACATAATACTTTGTCTGAGGAAAAAATTTCTATAATCAATTTTGTAGTTTTAAAATGTTTTTACAATTCTCCAAAAATCGGAGATATCAACGAAAATGAGATGTACACTACTATTTTAAACACGTCCTTTAAGAACAAAATTTAATAAAGACATTTTGAGTTGTTGTTTTTTAATTTTCAAAAATGCCCAGAGGGTTTGATAAAATGTAGCCCCCAAAATTAAAATATAACTTTCAAATTTCTGAAGCCGCTACACCAGCCAGAAAGATTGAGGAATTTCAATTTTGGACAAAATCGGTTCAGCGGTTTAAGCGCTAGTGTTGGGCATGGGCAGACAGACAGGCATGGGACCGACAGTCAGACGTTCTGCCGTCAATCGATTTTTCGGTTGAAGGACGCACAAAACATGAATTATAGCTACACCACGTCTTAGAGGATGTTTTCTACTATTATAAACTGGAATAATCCACGTTTTCTTTACCAGGGCCCAGCAATAAGAGTTTTTGTGTTGAAAATTCGCCGGTTCCGGCGCACAATTACAACACCTTCTTAGATTAGTAAGAGCGAGAAAGTAAAAATAATCGACTTCGCTTGTAAATATCAATGCACAGAACCCGCTTTTTTATACGGTTGTAGAAAAAATTAGTTTATGTTCTTGATATCATCAATACTTTTTTATAAATAATAATATAATTCATACATCACAGATTACAATTAAACATTATTTGTAAAAGGGATGGAAAACTGAAAATATTTTACAATCACTGCGTGATCGTGCTTGTGTGTTTTTGAAGTTGGCGCCACCGCCTTACCTCCGGCCACTATGCAAACGTCTTGACGGTAGCTGTGCTATGCATTCTCCATGATAGACACTTGCGGACTCCGTTATCACTTCCAGTTTACTTCTCAACGGTGATTGTACTCCTCCCAGGGACTCTTAAATACTTTTGTGTTTTAAGTAGTGTGTGGAAACTATGAAGCTCCAACATTCGCAAATCGTGAGTATATACAAAAGTGTAGTGAGTCAAATAGAGTCGAAAGTCGAAAAGATTATAATGTTCTCGACCCAATTATTCAAGTTGACATTTAAAAGTTACTTAAAATGGCTGTTCTAGAATGGCTGTGCAGGTTTTCTACATCGTTGCCTACATTCAAAATGTGGAATGATCACATAGTTGAAATATAACCACAATAATGACAAGCTCTTTAGCTATCTTCATTGTAACTTGTGAACAAGGTCAGATTAACTACAAGCAAAATAAGCAGTAGCTTACAGAGCACAATTCAAAGGGTTCCAACGCCCTGAAATCATAAAGTATTTAAAACAGTCGTAAAAATGTTTTATCTGCAAAATAATGCTAAAACATGTTTGCATTTCCAAAATAAAGAATATATTTTTATTGTTAATTGTATATAAAGTTATGCCATTAAGTGTTTTTTTTAGAAAATATAGAGGGGGCCCAATACAATTTTGTGCTTGGTGAAGTTCCGCAGTGTCTAAATCCGGCCCTGGTTGGGAAGTGACGTATATTTTCATGCAGTTCGTTTGCAAATGTCTGTTGAAATATTACTCTGAAATACATTTGTTCATGTAAGAGATATATTTATTTTTCAAACATTATTATTTTGGGATTCTTTATAAATCAAAACAGTGTATCAATTTCAGAGAATGCTTAAAGTGTTCCCTTGAGAGAATACAGTATTTAACATATTTAAAAGTTCAATACTTAAGTTTTTAATAATTTGTTCACAATACCCTGTTCATTCAAAATCAACTAATGTAGTTAGATTAAATTTTGTTTTATAAACGGTCGTGCATCTTCTGTATATTAAAGAAATAAACAATAAGTATTGATACTGACAAGATAGTTCTTGCCTTGCTCACATATTTATAAATCAATGTGGATGCACGATGAAAGTGATACAGTCACTGTTAATGTAGCCGTGACGCTTGTAGAAATTCACTATTTTTTTGTTTACTTTTATTTTCCAAGTATACCAATTCGTTCTGTTTTTTGTTTCACTGGATTCCCAATTAAAAATAGCGAAAAAGTAAAAATATTCTACCATATTGCATGAATTATTTAAATCAATATTGATTTGAGGTAGAACTTGAAAGAAGCAACACAACTTATTAGATATAATCAGATAAAACAATTAATATTACAATATAAAGCTGGT